AAAAAAAATAAAAAATTCATCTGTAGATTTACTTGCTATATGCTTGACCCTTACAACTATGAATAATTTAAAGAATTTTATCAGTTCTGAATAAAAAAAACTTAATAAAAAATAATAATAAAATAATAAAAAAATAAATATTAGAATTTTAATAAACTTTATAAAAATAAAAATAATGTAATATAAGAAGTATGGTGACCTAATAAGTAATCAAATTGTTAACCTTCCAAGTAATAGATTAGGTGTTTAAATCTTATCGATAATAAAAATTTTTTTTTGCTTTTACTAAGGCTGTAGTTATCAGTGACTATTGCCTTTATTGTATTTTAATTATGATTACATAACTTGTACAAGGTGAGTATACAACTAGCTATACATACAACTTTTGGTTGTCTAATTTAAGTAGTCTGTCTGCACAGCAGATTCTACACTAGCTGCCATATCTGCAATCTACTAGGAGATTACTTATTTAAACACTCTGATTCCTATACTTATACCAACAAATAGCACACAAGTTCCCATATACCTAAGTGTTGTCTAACCTAATCATGATCTTCCTGTTTGTATATCCATCAAGCTGTTATATATTTCAGAGTATGTCATCTGACTGTAGGACTTCAGGAGGCCCTCTTGCTAACTAACTACCCACATTTAGTATTTTGTTAACAGGGCTCACCTTTGCAGAGTTCATCCAGACCCCAGCACTAACTTCATAGCATATTTCTAGTATTTTAGTATACCCCTGTTTTTGATCTCAGACTTTTAATCCAGATAGTCCAATAGGACTGTGACCTATTCCTGGTACCCCAGGTCTGCCCTTCAAGGTCCTTTTCCTTCGGTTTGAGACTTCCAGCAGCCTGGTTGGTGGTACTCCTCACTCGAGATTCTTGCTTGCCCGATTCCTTCTACATTGGTATCTATTTTCTAGGTTTAGCCTTTACAGTAATACTATCAAAGATCTGTGTTATCTCTCTATTCAGGTCTTTCTAAGTGGGCTTCCAGTTATCCTAATTTACAGATTTACATGGTCACAGATGCCCCATGACCTGCCAGTTATTTGGTGCGACTGTGTTACAGGTACTGATCTCAACTGATCGATAGATAGCCATTGCTGTAATACCAGTTTTAAGGACTTATCTTGTGTTTGCACCACCCAATGCCAGTTTGCATTTCTTTGTGTAACTCTAGTATTGCACAGATGCCCATATACACTGATGTAACATAGGTGGTTTTCAAAATTTTTGTTGTCAATAGGTTTTGAACTTCCAATCTACTACTTGGAGAGTTGACAACTTATCTACTTCACTAAGTCACTACACTCTAATAATAAAAATTTGAATAAATATCTATATAATATTCATATTATAACAACTATTATTAATGATTAGATTAGAATATCTGTAATGACATTTTACTAACATAACTAGCAGGTCATAGAGTATTTATATAAGTATGACATTATATAGAGAAATGTAAGCTGACAAATCAGATAATACAAACACTAGATAGATTCTTGTGACTATATAAATTTATTAAAATTGGATTACAAGAAGTTTATTTGAAAAGACCTAAATAAAGAGATAATTAGTTCTTTGATAATGTTACTATAAAGGCTAATCTGAGGAAACAGATATCAAGATTGTAATATTTAATCATAGTATCTGAATAGGCAAGAACTTTTAAGTTAGGGAAGGTTCAGAGGTATTATCAACTAGACCATTAGAATAAACTAAAAAAAAAAGATATTAGATCAACCTGATATATTAATAGACTAATTATAATTCTATATAAACTATTTGGATTAAGAGTTTGATAAAAAGGCAAGTAAAAAAACAGAGATATACTAAAGTACTAAGATTATGCTATAAAGTAGATGCTGAAGTTTATATAAACTCTACAAGAGTATAGTGATTTAATGGTTAAATCCTAACTGCAAGTGTTGGTTCTGCTATAGCAATACTTAGGTCAATTGTAAAAATAAGTATAGAAGGTTTTAAGAGGTTTAACTTGAAGATAAAATAGTTCTAAGATTGAGATAATGATTTGAATATCTGTGATAACCCAGTAATATTAATACAGATTGCAGGTTTAAAATTTTAAAGTTAAACATTTAAGCAAAGGTATTAGATAGGAAACCTTTGAGCAAACTCCTTAATAAGTAATATAAAAAAGTTACATGTATAGCCAATTATATGCTCTCTTGTAGTGGTTCATAGAATCACATTACCAAAAAAAAATGATAATAAAAAGTCAAAAAACCAAAAAGATTATTTTTTTTTTTAAAAAAAAAAAAAATAGTGTAATATGTAATAGTTTAATAGACTATCTATAATTATTAATATAAATTTAATTATAATATATTATATAAACTAAATTAGTTATATATAAAATATAAAAAATTTTAGTAAATTTTCTGTTAAAGATAAAATAGATTTAAGAGTATTAATATATATTAGTTATTTTGAATGAGTTTAATCTTGAAAATGCCTTTGTAATACAAAATAAATTATATTATAAAAGGTTTAAATAAGCAAATTTTATAAATAACTTGTAGAAATAACATTCAATATAAATTTGTATAGTAATATATAAGCAGATTATTAAAAATAAATATTAAAAATGCATGTAACTAGTTGTAACCTTCTATATAAGTAAGTTTTTGAAAACATCTGTGATCATATAACTTAAACAAATACATTATTTTTCAAAGACAAAAACTTAACACTAACTATAAAACTTACTTTATTATATTATAATCAAGGCTTATATATATATATATAAGTTAATGGAAACCAAGCAAATATTTTTTAAAAAGTTATTTAAAACTTTAATCAAGAATAACTTAACAAATAATTAAATTTATTAAAAAATTTTTTAAACCAATTTTATAAGTTTATAAATTTTTTAAAAAAATTTTATTAAATTTGATTAAGTCTTGTTAGGTTATTCTAATTCAAAGTTGCAAAAAATTTTTATTAAAAAATTTTGCTTAATTTCTATTAACTCATTCCATATATTCTAAAAAAAATCTTCTAGTTTGAATTCTTTACCGCAAAATTATATAGCTTTTTTTGTTAAAATAAAAAAGCAATTTTATAGATAAATATTGAGTTACCGTACAAGTGCGAAATAACACCCGGGCATTATTTCAGATCATGACCTGAGTTAATTTAGGTCGTAATTATACATAACGTCGGCCATTACTTCACACCTGTACGGGTAAAACACGTTTTTTAAAAACAATCGCATTTGATATTCATGTCATACCTGATCTTGCACCCCGAATGACCAATCATGAACATGCATCGTGATGAATTAATAAATCAACTAAAACTAATGAAATTAGAATAAATGCCAAGGTCTAAAAACTACCTCAAATATAATTATCCTCAAAATTCGATTTGGCATTATTTACCATGTATAATTCTATTAGCATACATGGTAACTCAAATGACGGTTTACAGTGATAAACCAAGACTTATTTGTTATCGGTTATTAGGACAATCGCAATCTATCTATTATTTAAAAAACAAACACGCAGAATGTGTGACATTCAAACTTACACCATGGTTAAATAATAAATTTTCAACTTCTGCATGTGAGGTGGTGCAGAATTATTAAATTATTTAAAGTAATATAATAAGGGGACACACTTGTGACCTAAGATTTGTAGTGTAGAAATGATATCCCATTAATACGTATAGTCAATTTATAGCATGGTTACCTGGGTTACCTGGTTACCTATGAATTTTATATGATGCATGTGAGTACGACGAAAATATCAATTTGATTTGGCAAAAATATTTATATCGACTTTACCAAGATTGGCCAATCAGAATGCACGATTTGGTGTAACACTATATAACGTGATCAGTAATGGCAAACATGTTTGTTTCGACAGTTCAGGTTGGACAAATTTGTGTTGTCCGGCCCAAATTATATACTTAATTTTGCCCGAAGTGGTATTGTTACACCGCATTAAATTTTGTAAGAATAATGTCCCTGGTATGTATTATACGTATTAATATATGTATTATACTATTATCTGCAGGCATTCAGCCCTCATGTCCGAAAAAAGTGAATTTGATATTCACTTTTTTTGTTGGTAATAATCGATCAATTCAAACAAAGAAATAGATGTATGTATCCGATTGCAGTAACGACAATGCAGTATTATTACGTAGCATTAGTAAGATTCTTCAACACCTCGTGGTTGTCTAACGACAAATAATAATAAATAGTAAAATTATTAAGCTTATTTGATAATCTCTAGCGCTAGTCCCCGAGATTTGAGATTTAGAGACCGCAAATGTTCGGATAAAAAAATATTCCGATAGAGGTTATCATTCGCCTCCTGACCATTTAATACAAGTTAGTTTATATTGGTTTATTTAAACCCTTTTTTAGAGGTTCACACGCATTCTGGCGTTATATAATTATTAATTGTCTTTATTTTCTCCGATGGTGTTTCCACAAACTTTCCTTTTTAATCATAAACCCTCGGCTTACACCACTTCATGACAAATTGATTTTATATCAAAAAAAAAAGAATAATAATAAAAAAATAAAAAATTCATATCGTTACCTCCCGAAATTTATTACGAAATGGGAATATCCCCTTTTGGTCAAACAAATAATCCGACCAATCACCATTTAAAATAGAAGGATCCACAAGTAATCTTAAATTCCCTCTTGAAGTACAATTACCTAATTTGATCTCTAAATATTCTTAATTCGGATTAGAATGAGTATATAGGCATATTATTATTTTTTCTTTTAAGGTATGTCACTATCACCTAATGAAGCTGTAATAATCACCTGAAATAATTTATAATATATGTAGAATTCACGTACCCTATCTTTTTTTTTATTTTAAATTGCCTCCAATTTCTAAAAGTATAAATTTACTGATCTTTAGAATTAATTTGTGAGGAATTTAGAATCGTTTTATTGACTATTTTCAAAAAAATACTTATAGTAGTAATAAAATAATAATAGTCATGGCTGACAACGAAGTCAAAGAAAACGTTACCCATATGAATGTTCAAGATTACGACTTAAAACGTCGTGAAGCTCTTGAAAAAATTGATAATGCTAAATTTGGATGGTTTCATATTAGAGCATGCATCGTATCTGGTGTAGGATTTTTCACAGACGCTTATGATATTTTCGCTATCAATCTTGTGGCTGTAATGTTAGGTTATGTTTACTTTGGAAAAAATTCTCTCCCACCGGATGTTGATTTGGGTATAAAAGTTGCAACACCAATTGGCACATTTATTGGCCAATTCGCATTTGGGATATTAGCTGATATCCTTGGTCGTAAAAAGGTGAGTAATTATTTGATTTCGTTATAATTATCATTTTTTTAAATTAATCAATTAATTATATTATTAATAGATGTATGGTGTTGAGTTATTGATAATCGTATTTGCTACCTTTGCCTGTTGTCTCGTTGCAAATTCCTATGTTTACTCCCCTGTTACAAAGGCTTTTGAATCAAATGCTTCGGTTATCTCTGTTCAAGGCCTTCTCATCTTCTGGCGTATTATTTTGGGTATCGGAATTGGTGGTGATTACCCTCTTTCTGCAGGTTAGCTATTAAGAAAATTTTCCATATTTTACATAAGTTTATTTTCTCTTTCATATCATGTGACTGAATATGTTTCAAAAGTTATTACTAGTGAATTCGCTACCACCACAAGAAGAGGTGCAATGATGTCTGCCGTGTTTGCCATGCAAGGAATTGGAATTTTAGTAGCGGCCATAGTTTCAACTATAACAATAGTAGCATTCCATTCTACCATTTCTGCAACCGATTATTCACACATTGATTATTGTTGGAGAATTGTAACCGGAGTAGGCGCTATTCCTGGACTTGTTGCCCTTTACTTTCGACTTACAATACCAGAAACACCTCGTTTTACTATGGATATCGAACGTAATGTCAATCAGGCAGCTCAAGATATTTCCACTGTATTAGAATCAGGTTCATACAAACCTCGTGAACAGGAAGTCATCATTAAAGTTGATGCACCAAAAGCTAGTCTTTCAGATTTCTTTGCTTATTTTGGTAAATGGGAAAACGGAAAAGTTTTATTTGGAACTGCTTTTACATGGTTTGTACTTGATGTGGCTTTTTATGGTATCGGTTTAAACAACAATATTATTTTGAAAAACATTGGTTTCCTTGGGGATGGTACAGATCCATATGAAACATTATATAAAGCATCTGTTGGTAATATTATAATTGCACTATTGGGAACTGTACCCGGTTATTGGGTTACTGTATTCACTATTGACTCATGGGGTCGACGCCCAATCCAACTTATGGGATTTGCCTTGCTTACTGTAATATTTATTGTCCTCGGATTTGGTTATACCCCAATATTGAATACATCTGTTGAGCTTTTCATCTTTATATTTACATTATCTCAAGTAAGTTATATTATAACAATTAAAATCTTTAATATTTATCTATCTATATGTATATCTTTATAGATTTATTAATGAAATTTATTTTCACAGTTCTTCTTTAATTTTGGACCCAATACCACTACATTCGTTGTACCTGGTGAAATATTCCCAACTCGATACCGTTCAACTGGACATGGAATAAGCGCTGCATCTGGAAAGTTGGGTGCTATTATTTCACAAGTTGGTTTCTTCAAATTGAAAGATTTTGGCGGTGCTCCCGGTTCAAATGCATTCATAGATCATCTGTTCAAAATATTTGCAGCCTTTATGTTGGCTGGTTTCATAGCCACCTATTTCTTTGTACCTGAAACAAAGGGTACGTCATTAGAAGATTTATCAAATGAAAATCAAGAAGGGTTTGTCAAAGATAAACGTTCGGCTGATAATTAATGATCTATTTATAATATATTATGGACATTTATGGTTGTTAAAGTATGGTTATGTATTTATAGGTTTATTACCATACCCTATCGATATTATTTATTACGTATTAAAAAAAAAAAAATTTCATATCCTATCGAAACTATTTATTATTTCTTTTTTTTAAAAAAAAACATACATATCCTATCGAAACTATTTATTCATTTTTTAAAAAAATCATATATTTTTTAAAAGTAAAAAAAAAACATTTCCTATCGAAACTATTTACAGGTTAGAAAAAAAAAATTCAAAGAGTTTTCAGTGTAGGTGGTCGTGCACCACCTTTAATCACGTGATATATAATCCTGTAATCGCCTATAGATAGTTATATATATTTATTTTAATAAAAATTTAATACAGCATATATACATTGACATAGGCATTTATTTACAAATAATGTCATACGTAGCCATTTTATTTACAAATAATGCCATAGCCATTATGAACAAATAATAATGATGGCTCTGTTTATTATGATGTTTAAAACAAATTAATTCTTGGTGATATTTGCGTAAATTTTAGGTGACTGATGTGATACGATCTACGATCTACCCATTTATTTATTTGCTATAATTAGATTCAAATGTCCAAATTGATAGACATAATAACTGGATAAATATTTTATATCCGAAATGAAAAAAAAGAAAAGGAAAGCCCGTGCCATCTATCTCGCTATCTCGGAAGAACCACGTACGTCAATGAAAAATTATAATAAATCCAACATCCCCCTATTCAAGGAGTCATCTCCCGTTAAACAGTCTGAAAAATCTGTGTGGAATTCTACTCTTGGACCACGATTTTCAGGATAATACGTTATTTGATGTTATTTGATGCGTACGATGTATTTGATGCTGATCACTATCTAAAATTAATTTGTTTGCATCATTGCTGTTTTAATAAAGTTAAGTTTTTTTTTTTTTTGTTTATTCTTTTTTGAATAGTAACGGTATCACAGAACAGAATTTTAATTGCTGTGTTACTTATTCATTTCTTCGTAGAAATTCTGAAATTTTATTTTATTTTAAGTTTTCATTTGGTGATACTCATTTATTTTATTATTTATTATTTGTCATGATGCATAAAAGTGAATTATTCGCAAGACCTTAGCGCACCAACTTAAAAAATTTCGCAATTAAATTAGGGTTAGGGTTTGCTATTAAGTTAGGTTAAAAGAGCGCAGAAAGCAGTTTCATATTTTGATTTTTTTTCGTGTTACACCATATCTTGAAATCTGATTGGCTGGCAAAATTTTTTAGTAACTTATTTATATGTTTTAGAGTATCTTTTGAGTACAGCAGAGACAGTGCCCGATCAAAAGTGAATCCCTCTCGCCTGTAATCAATCACAAATTAAATTATTTATGTTGGATTCAATTGTGATGGATATAATCCCTCACTAGTTTTAAATATACGTGTAACATTAACGGTCTCTGCGGTATCTTTTGAGAACGCAACGTTACACGAGCATCCATTCATCTTTTTGCTAACTTTAAAATAATCTCTGCAAGAGGTAAAAAAAGCTACGTCTAAATTTTAAAATGCACAAAAACAAAAGTAGTTATTAACAAAGCAGTTGTCTCGATTTTTAAAGCTTGAGATTTCAAGTTAGATGTTTAAAGCAAGACAAGCTTGTTCGCGTAAGAGATCTATGCTTTATATTTGATATTCTTAAGTTGGCTTAAAGCGTATGGATTTATTAACTATAGATATCAACCTGGATTTATAGATAGTAGGGTTAGTGATTCAAGCTTTGTTTTATCAATTTGGCTCTACTCTATATGCGTTTAAACCAATAAATCACACGTATTTATCGATTTATATAAATTTTTTCTTGAATTTTTAGTTTGCAAATTGTGTGATTTGATTGGCTAATAATCACATGTAGATCTAAAAATTTCTGCTAATTTGTTTTTTTCCGGTTATTCCGGAAGACTTTCGTATGATTGGCTGTTTATCAATTTATTTTACGTTATTTATACAGTTTAAAGTACTTTTTAAAAAAAAAATAAAACTACGAAGAATAAACAAAAAAGAAGTACATAGAAAGTTTTATCAGGGTTGTAGGACTCCCTTTTTGTTTTAGAGAAGTTGGCATAATAGCGACTTCTTAAATATGGATAGAATTGGGTTATTACCTCTCTAAAACAAAAATGGATTTTGATTATTTTTAATAGTAGAGTCCTACAACCCTGATAAAACTTTCTATATACTTCTTCTTGGTTTATTCTTCGTAGTTTTATTTTTTTAAAAAGTACTTTAAACTGTATAAATAATGTAAGATTAAATTGATTTAAACAGACGAAAGTCTTCCTATGAGTTTCGGACTGGTATATTGACTTATCCAGTCTGATAATTTATATTGATATTATGGTGGGACGCTTAAAGTGTACATAGATAACTCATATGGATTAATACTTTTGTTTAATAACTTTAGAGTTAGGGATACTTTAGATTAAGATTAGATTATAGCTAGGTGTGTTATATAGTAAAATCGCCTTGACATTTTTCATTAATACTTTAATTATTTTGCAGACTATTTTACATATCTATAATATAATTTTGCATTATAATCAGTCAATTTAGAACTTTAATTTTTTGTTATTCAGATTTTTGCATCCTGATCAGTCAATTTAAAGTCTTAAAATTAAAAATTTTTTAGGTAGCGATATAGTCTTAATCGGAACAAAGGGATAGTAAGATGAATAAAAAAACAATTCTTGTAGACATAATTAGGGTTGGTAAAGTTCTAGGTTTAAAAACTAGGAACCTATTTTGAAACCTAGTTTTTAAAAACCGGACTTTAATTTTGGAACCTAGGGTTTAGGTTCATAATAGGTTTTATATAGAATATATATATATATATATATATATATAGCATATATATAATATTTATATGTACAGTCAGACCTCTCTAAATGCAATGCGACAGGACCATATATAAAAATTTAGTCAAACGTGCACTTAGAAAGGTAAAAATCTATAGATGTAATATTAGTTGGGCCCAAGAAAAGACGTGCATTTAGGGAAGTGTTTCATAGGATGTACACTTAGGGGGTGCGTCTGACTGTATATGAAATATATACAGTATTAGGAACAGAGTACAAAGCATATAATATATGGATACAGTTTTCAAACAAGGTTGAGCCAAGTTCAGATAAACAGAATAAGATTTACCATTATAGAAATATGAGATCCAATTATGCTGTTATAGAGTGGAAGCCTTCTTAATTCCACACTACAACAATGACACAGCACAGAGAATCCCTTACGGGTATATGCGGTGTCCAAGAAGAAAGTATAGCTTCTGTTAGACATTGTCAAGAAACTATACCCATCTCTGAGGCAGTTCGATAATTATTACATAGTAGTT